GAACTGGGGTCCTCATTTCCTACCCAGGCCAGAAGAGAGAGACCAGGAAACTTTCCCAGCAGCATGCTCCCTGACCTTGGGCAGGTCCCCACCTGGTTTTATGACTGTCCTGCTCTCACAGCCCTGACATTAAAACAGCCTGCAGGGTACACTGTCAGCACAAACCAAATTGGGGACATGCTTCAGCTGTCCCAATGAAGGACACTAGTCATGTGACTCTCCAGAGAAGTTCAGTCATGCAAAGGGGCTCTTTTGGGCCCTGACTAAGAGCTGGATCTCCTAAAAGTGGGCTGGAAACTAAATAGCCAGCTTCCGGCTGGCAGCCTCTGCCTGGCTTGGGAGGCATTTGCTTCCACTGAGCCACTTTCATTTGCTATTTCAGGCTCCTAGCACCTTAACCCAGAGAAGCTCCTCATGTGGCTAGCACCTCGCACGACTCATGGCTGTCTGTGAGACCCTGGACAAATACATTCTCACCTTGCATTTCTCAGTGTCCTTTGCTATAGGAACCAAGAAGAAAGTGAGACACAGATAGAATTGAGGCCAGCTGTAAGAGAGCTGAGACTTGATCTCAGAGCCATCAAACCCAGAATTTCAGGGGAAAAGGGCCCAGTTCATGCCACTAGGCCAGGGGGTGCAGATCGACTGGCGCTTCAGTGAGTTTGCACTGGAAGCTTTGCTTCCTTGGCACCCACTTATCTCCCAGGCAGCCAGCTTGTCCCAGCTGTTGGAAGTCAGCAAGGAAGAGGGCAGCCAGCCTTCTGGGACCAGCTCAGACCCTGCCAACTCCACGTTCTTCATCCCAGTTGCCTGCCCTGGACTCCACCCTGCACATGGTTCTGCTCAGAGCCAGCCTGAACCAGAGTGCCTGCATTTCTCCCCAGAGGCCTTCTCTCTACCCAGAGGCACTGCCTGCGAAGATCCCTCCATGATCCAATAGATTTGTACAGACTCTGGTTGGCAGCAGCTCCTTGCTGGCTCCACTTCAAAGCCAGGCTGGCCAGGCTCCTCCAGGTGTCAGAGCAGCTGGCACGTTAGCAAAAGGCCTCTGGCAGGAAGGGGTGCCGAGCCAACCGCCGTCCACTGCAAACAGCACATGTGGACGAGCTTGTCTCAGAGAAGGCTCTGGAAAGCTCTGCGGGGATTTGAGTTCAAGGTGAAGGAGCTGTCTGCGGATGTTCAGCCTCAGGTCGGCCCTGTCCTAGAAGACAAGGCCAGGGCTGTAGCTCCCCACCCCACCTTTCCAAGTTCTGCTGGGGTTCAGAGCAAGACACCCAGAACTTTCATGGGTCAGAAAAACTTGTCACCTCTCCACACTGTAAGGGCGTCATTTCCTCCCTTCACCTGTCTGCCTCCTCCACCTGCTTGCTGGCATTCCTGACCACATATCATTTGTTTGGAGGTAGACAATACTACAGGTGGTGTTTGTGTCTGTTTGTTTTGCCTTGATTTGATTTGTTATGTTTGAGGCAATCTCATTAGGTAGACCAGGCTGGTCTTGAACTAATGATCCCATTGCCTCATCCTCCAGAATGCTGGGATTACAGACACATGCCACCATATTTGGCTATAGGGTAGGTTTAGTTGTTTTAATTTATTTGTTTTATTTTAGGTGTAGGGTGTTTTGCCTACATGTGCGTCTGTGTACCATGTGCATACTTAGTGGCAGTGAAAGTCAAAAGAGGGTGTCGGAGTCCCTGGAACTGGAGTTACCGATGGTTGTGAGCTGCTGTGTCAGTGCTGGGAACTAAACCCAGGCCCTCTGCAAGAGCAACAAGTGCTCGTAACTTTCCAATCCCTTAATTTTAAAAATAGAAAAAGGTATTTTTAGAAATACCTTAGGTAGAAAATACCTTTTTCTATTTTTAAAATTAAGGGACTAGAGAGATGGCTCAGCAATTAAAAGCATGTATTGTTCTTGCAGAGGACCCAAATTGAGTTCCCAGAACTCACATCAGGTAGCTAATAACCCACATGTAACTCCAGTTCCAAGGGATCTGATGCCTCTGACATCCACAGGCACCTATTCTATCTCTCTGTCTCTCTCTTTCTCTCTCTCTCACACACACACACAATTAAAAATAAAATTAAGAAAAATAAATTTCTTTTCTTCTTGGGGGTAGAGTGGCATGCCATGGTGCATATGGAAATCAGAGGGCAGCTTGTGAAGGTCAGTTATCTCTTTCCATCATATGGATCCGGGTTACTGAACTCAGGTCCTCAGGCGTGGTAGCAGGTGCCTTTAACCAATGCGTTATCACCCATATATGGTGTTTAAAGGTCAGGGTGTTTTTAAAAGCATCTTCCCATTAGTTTTTAAGAATCTTCTGCAGCCACAGCCTCTGGACAGCCAGACTTTCCCTCCATCTGAACCAGTGCTAGTAAGGAAAGCCAGTAGTTCATCCACAGTTGGGAAAATTGACACTCTGACAAGGCCACAAGAAGCCCTTTGGGAAATACAAGCTTCCCAGCCTCTGTGTGAACATCTCCAACAATGAGCAGTTAACTCCTTCATGAGTCAGACACAGTTCAGGTACTCACTCTGGAAATACCATTCAATGAGGGGATGCATGAACAAGGAGAAAAGGCCACGCTACCTTATTCTTTGCTCCCGGCCAGAAAAAACCTTATATACTACATCCAGCCCTCGACAGTCCAAAGAAAGCAGAGTCAAATAATGAGCAGCAAAGAAAGCTGTGATCTCAGATCTTACCGCCTCAGGTGAAGAGGGTCCTTCCCTAGGCCTTCTTTCCTCATTCCTAGACTAGCTAGCTAATCCTGCTAGTTTCTTTTACCTCCTGTCCCTCTGCCTCCCTGCTGCCCACTTCAGTCTGCTCTCCACCTCCAGGGGAAGTGAAGAGGCAAACAGCCTCCCTAGCCCAGTTGGGTCTGTGGCACCCAAAACCAACTGCTGCTCCTTGCAACAGAGAAAACTTGTCACCTCTCCACACTGTAAGGGCGTCATTTCCTCCCTTCACCTGTCTGCCTCCTCCACCTGCTCGCTGGCATTCCTGACCACATATTAGTTTCAGCCAAGTAAAGGGCAGGAACAGAAGTCAAGCACAGTAGGCTGCCCTGCCCCCCACTTAGGCTGCAAAAGGCCATACTGTGCCATCTTCAAAGAGGGGTTGGTCTCTCTTCCTTAGCGGTGCCTGTGTCTCTCTCTCTCTCCCTTCTTCCCTCCCTCCATCTCTCTCCCTCCTTCTCTCCCTCCCTCCATCTCTCCTTTCTCCTCTCCGCCTAGGATATGAGAAATCAAGGTAACCTTTGGACTAAGGAGCGGCATTTAGTCTCCCAGCTATTGATGGAGAGACATGAGCGCCCTCTTGTGGCCAATGCAGCATTGCTGTTTCCCTCTTTGACCTCAGCTTTTTCCAGCTGGTAGGGAGGGCAGCTTTCCTTATCAAGAGACAAGAAACAGTTCAAACTCCAAGATATATATGGGAAAGAGTATAAATTAGCCCCAGAAGCTAAGTTATAAGCTAATGCTAGTATTTCTACTGTTTTTGTTGTTGTTGCTTATTTTTAGAAATGTTCTCTCTAAATACCTCTGGTTGTCTCGGAACTGTCTATATAAACCCAGCTGGCACTGGCTTTGAACACCCAGAACTCTATCTACCTACCTCTGCTTCTCCAGTGCTGTGATATAAGGCATGCACTTGACCTCTTCTCTTAAAAGAGGAGTGTGATCCAGCGGAAGCACTTAAGCCTTTGGAGTCATGCAAACTCACAAGTTGTATATGTTCTTTTATAAGCTGTGACTCCTTTGGGATTGATGTGTAATTGCAATCCCTCATGTGCAAAAGGAACTAACTAGTCCAAACTCTTGTGGTGCTATGGATGAAATGTAATGAAGGTAGCTAAATACTAAATGCAGTGCCCACTGTGGAGCAAGGTGCTCAGTAAACGGTACCTGTCTACTGCTGTTATTACAGCTACTAGGCGCTGCTTTCTGTCTTTGGAAAGATATCCTTAGCCCTAACCCTGCTTTGCACAATTCCAAGGCAAGGGCACCAATGGCATAAACTCCCTTCTCTAGAGCGAACAATACTGACTCTCAGGCTGACCCACGGGCCAGTTTGGAGACCCTTTGACTCAAGGAAGTAGAGATTTAGAAAAATACCCCAAAGCAAAAGAAAACAGTTTAAAATAGAAAAGGGGAAAGATAATGCCAGAAGGGCCCTGTCGGAAACAGATTGAAGGCCCAGCTCCGCTCCACTAGAGGAGTTTGGCACTCTGCCTGGCACACGGCTGAGGCCCAGCAAGTGCTGACTTCTTTCTCTTCCTGTTCCCCTTTAGCTACATCCCTGAGCAGAGCATGAACATGGCCTTGGTGTGATCTAGTTCCCAAATGTTTTCACATTGAGGGTGCCCAGTGGGGAGAGCAGAGGCAGGGCCTTGCAGTGGCCTCTGAAGTGCCCTAGCCGGTGTGCATTCTCCGGCCCTCTCACGTGAAGAACTGCCCACTCCCACTCCCACCCCTGTCCCCAATCTACCTTCTGTGTCTCAGAGTAGAGGTGCCTGTTGCTGCTCTGGCCAGTTGGTAGCTTATTAAATCTCAGCACCACTTGCCAAGACCCTGCTAAACCTCTTGGCTGTTCTTTTTGCCTTTTCTGGTCAGCAGTATTTATTCAGAACTAAACGGTCCTCACTGCAGAATGAAAGGATCTACTGCTTAAGTATCTGAAAAGAAATCTTGGCCGCATTACAATTGCACCCTCTCTTTGCGGCCTCCACCCCACTCTGCCCATGCTCCATTGACTGGTGCCACTGAGACTGACCTGGGAGCCTGCCCTGGGAGCACGGTACCCAGTGGCAGAGCCAGCTGATGGAGAAGTGAGATAGGCGGCGCTCGTTTGAGGGACCCTTTCCCTCAACGTGCTGCAGCCCCAAGAGAGACCGGGGGCCTAGAAACAACTTGTTTTGGGCATAATCGTGTGTCAGTTTGGCTTTTTCCCTCCTCATACTCTCTCTCAGAGCCTCTCCCTCTTTCCCCTCAGGATCGTGCTCATGGATGACGCCATGGACTGTTTGATGTCATTTTCAGATTTCCTTTTCGCCTTCCAGATCCAGTTTTATTATTCAGGTGAGAATGTTTCAGGCCCCATGTGGCTTTTGTCAAGGACCATGTCTCCCTTTCTAACCCTGTTGTCTTTTCCATCTGTGTGCCTGGCACACACATTTCCCATCCCCACTTCCTGTAGGGGTATGCCTCATCATGGCCCACTAACAGAATGTCTGATTTGCAGTGGTGGATTCAATCTGCCAAGCCTATTTCCTCAGCCAAATGAAGACATTGAAAAAAACATACTGCTTCCAGTCAGCAGCACAATAAATAAAGAAATGAATACACTTAGTGAGAACAGCAGTAAGGACACCAATAGCACTCAGTTATTGAAAATTCACCACCTCCCAGGTACAGTGCTAAAGACTGCAGGCTGTTCGCTAGTCCTAAGAGATAAGTTTACCTTGTTTAGAGCCTCCTCAGTTCTTGATCGCATGTGGCGCGTCTTTCCCCACACTCGTAGCTTTTCATAAGCACACACTGAACCAGAAACAATAGTACATGACTGTAACCAAGCCACACATGCACACGTGCTGTCTCGTGCTTTAACTCTGCTCCCCAGGTCATGCCAGATGTACCCTTAAGCCCCTTCTGACTTGATGGAATAAAAATAAATAGAAATGTATACAGCTCATATGTAAGTGAAAACAAATTGAATTTGGGGGTTAGAAATTACTGCATTCATAAAGAAACTCGCTTAAAGGGTGCTTTTCCAGTAAATAGAAAGCTATCTTTGGAGCTTGGAGATAACCTTCTTGCCAACCAGTGCCCTGGGCAGCTCTGGCTTCACTTCGGTGCCACGTTCTCTTTACTTGATTGAAGCCCCAGGGCTGTTGAGGCAGGGGCTAGAACCCAGAGTCATACCACCTGCTCCTTGCAAACACCAACATCTATGTCTCCTTTCTCTGAAGCTTTCTCTGAATCTTGGGGGAGAACAGCCATGTTTGGGAGAATTCCCTTCCTCTAACATATATACATACAGGGAACAGGGGCAGGGGGGGCAGAGAAAGGCCATGAGTCATTGTTCACTAACAATGATGTGACTACAAAGCTTGGAAAACAACTTCAAATGAAAACTAAATTAGCAGATTGTAGTGTCCTCTCCCGAATGGTATTTCTTTTTCTTTCTTTCAAGGTACATTGAGGACACTGAAAGGCTCAGTCTGGACAGTAACAAAGATACTCTCTTTGTACATGGCCTCCAGTACACACACGGCCATGAAGCAGATGGCCTCATGAAATGGGCCTAACCAGTGAGAATGTACATGTGTTCATTTTTCAGAAACAAACATGCAGCATTTAGCATGTACCAGCATAGTATTAGGCACTGGGACTGGAGGCGTCGGCAGGGCATGACCCTGCCGTTGTTCGAGGATCTAATACTCCAGCAAGGACACAGATAAACAAATACACAGCAAGCAGCACTGGGCAAATGATACCAAAAGGGGAGCGTGCTCTGCAGGTTTGCAGTGGGGCGCCAGCTAGCCTAGGAACTGTCCCAGGGGAAGGGCACGGGTGTCGTGTCTCATGAGGGCCGCAGTCAGTCCAGGTGTTCTGGCATCTGTGCTGAGGCTGGACAGACTGAGCTATCAGAGAAGGGGGGAAATGGTAAAGAAATGAAGCGTGACCTCCTTGCCTAAAATGTCCCTTCCTATTCCTACGGTGCTAGAATTTCTGGAGAGCGTGGCTGCCATCTATCAGGACTTGCTGTCAGGGAAGAATCCCAACACAGTGATTGTGCCAACATCATCCAGTGGGCAGCACCGCCAGCGACCTGCCTTGGGTGATGCCGGTATGCTAGATGGAGTGGAGGCGTCACTGTTCTATCAACGCCTGGAAAACCTGTGTGACCGGCACAAGTACAGGTGGGACATGGGCAGAGGCCCGCCTCAGCCCCAGAGATCAGGCACTTGTATGGGAACAGGCCTCTAGCAGAATGTTTTGATTGGTTCAGGTTTCTATGTCCCAGGATGGTCATGATTTGAAAACATGGCCATGTGCCCCCAAAACAGGTAGCTCACTTTCAAAGGAGCATTTTCACCAGGAAAGACTAGCTGAGGTAACTAGCTTATTAGGACTAGCTTCTTGAAAAGGAAACATTCACTGTTTGAAACTTTCCCATGGAAAGGGAAGGTTAAACTGTCCTGTGTGGCACAAAAAACCCTGAAGAACATAGCCTTCAGGCAAGAAGCCGTGTCCTTTCCCTCTCTTCTAGATTCCCCGTATTAGTTATGGGGCTGGTGCTGTGGCCAAGCACACACTCGGCACGTTGCATCTCTAACCCCACCAGTGTGCCGTAAGCCCATAAGCCCGTGTCTGCGGTCCAGCCCTGTCCCTGCCGTGCTCCCCCAGATTTCAGTGTCCTGGAGATGTCAATCAAAGGATAGCACTTAGACTTGAACCCAGCCTCTGCGTTCTCCCTTCTAGCTGCCCGCCCCCAGCGCTTGTCAAAGAGATCCTGAGCAATGTCCAGAGGCTGACTTTCTATGGATTCCTTGTGGCCCTCTCAAAGCATCATGGCATCAACCAAGCCCTGGGTAAGCAGAGCTCACAGTGACAACCTGTGCTCCTCCGAACACAGGCAGCAGCTGGCCTGTCGGCAGACATGGCCCTGCAGAGTTATTAAGATACTGTCTCTGATTCTCTGGCCTAGAAGCTGCAGTGTACATAACCCAAAACTGCCTGTGCTTAGGAGGTCCCTCACTTTTCCATGTGACAACCTTCTGCCCTGCCCAAACATGAATGAGCTGCTCCTCTGGTCCCTGGCATAGGCCTGCCCAGCCCCTCCCTATAGAATCCCCGTTCTGTTCTAGGAGTGGCCTGCAGGTTCAGCAGACACAGGGTATTTACCCAGTGGCTCTGGAGATTATATATCAAAGTGACCTGGATCCCATTTAGAAACAGGGCAAAGGTGTGTCTGGGAGGTGTTGGGTTTTTTTTCTTTTTTTTCCCAGCTGGGGAGGAAAAAAAAAATCTGATATACCTGAAAGAGAAAAAAAAAAAAAAGTGGAGACTGGCCCAGTTTTACTGCTTGTCCTCTCCCAAGGAGAGACCAGCAGGCCACTCTTGCTGTAAGCTTGTTGGGTTTTGTTGTTTTGAGACAGTCTCACTGTATATTAACTCTGTGTAGCCCGGATTGTACTAAATAGACTAGGCTGGCCTTGTACCTCCTACCTCTGCCTCCCAAGTGCTGGGACTAAAGGTTTGCACCACTAAACCCAGATACTGCTGAGGTTTTTGTTTTTTATTTTTCTGTTTTGTTTCTTTGTGTGACCCTGGCTGTCCTGGAATTAGCTCCGTAGACCAAGCTGGCCTCAAAGTCAAAGATCCACCAGCCTGTGCCTCCCGAGTGCTGGGATTAAAGGCGTGCACCACCACACCTGTTGAGTTTTAAGGACTTCCTATTTGTGTCTTTGCTCAGGAGGATGGTATCCCCCTGTGATTAGATCCAGGTTCCTGAGTCTCAGAGAGACATGAAGATTTTTTGTCTCCTGTCAGTTGAGGGGATGGGATCAAGGGAAGGGCAATTAACATTTGCTAAGTGCCCAACCCAGTGGGCCAGAAGCTGTGCTGGAGCCTTATGCTGATTTCCATGTACACACACCTGCTAGAGTTCTAGAGGACACAGAGCCTGGTTACAATTGAGTCAAATTAGATTCATAACCAAGGCTGCCAGCTGGACTAGGGCTAGAAAACAGGTCAACCTGAAAATCAGATTCAAGAGCCAGTGGGAACTCTCTAGGTGTTTTTTGCAATCCGAGGAACTGAGTACTGTTCTTTCAGTGATTGCTAAAAAGAAAAAGAAAAAGCTAATTAGCAATAACCACAGCCTACATTAACCTCAAACCCTCTCTGATCTTCAAAGCCAGGCAGTGTTGGTACACACCTTTAATCCCAGTCCTATCCCAGTACTCAAGAGGTAGAGGCGAGGCAGAGGCAGGTGGATCTCTAGGCCAGCCTGATCTACAAAAGTCCAGAATAGCCAGGGTTACAGAGAGAAATCCTGTTTAAAAAAAAGAAAAAGGAAAAGAGAAAAGGAAAGAGCCTTCTGGGGTAATATAGTAACTAATGGAACAGGCAGCGACAGAAGGCAACATGTGTTAGAACAGGAGCTCAGAAATACCCTGGTTCAAAATTTGTGCAAGAGAGCCCATTGTTCCTATGACACCCCACAACATAAGAGGCATCACCTGAAGGTGTAGAAGTCATAACTTGGACCAGTGCAGGATACTTCTGAGTCTCTGAAGCCCTGCTCCTTCAAGAGTTTACTGATCTTCCTCCCTGCAAACTTCAGTCTCACCTTCCTACCCATTGTGGAGGTGTTCTGTTTTGTTTTGGGTGCCCCGCTCCCCAGCTCCAAAAAAAAAAACACAAAAACTGATTAATCTGAAAAAGAGCAAAAAGAAGAAAATTTGAGTGGGAAGTACCCAGGCCTCTTCATATACTTCCCGATAGAATCACCAACCTGTGCCCCATGCTAAGGAAACCGATCCAGACAGACCTCGGAACTGCTTTAATACCCAGTGCTGGTCACAAACCACATCCAGCCTTGGAAGGGGACTGATCACCTGTTTGGAGTTTTGCTGTCACTCTTACCCCAGGCAGGGAAGGAGAACAGTGACTCACTAAATTTAGAAAGCAACATAAAAGACTTCCTGTTCCACATACCCCAACCTTACCTGACTAGCGAACTGCAGACACAGAAGCAAGGCTCAGAAGCGTATGAAGGGCCCCATGTTGTTTCATGACCCCAAACCCCTGTCTTCTAGGAGCCTTGCCTGACAAAGGAGACCTGATGCATGACCCAGCCATGGATGAGGAGCTGGAACGGCTGTAAGTGTCAAGTGGGAAGCTGCTGCCCTCTTGTGGAAGCCAATCTGTCAGATATGGTTGTGCCCCACTGTAGGTGACACAGCACTTACTTTTAACACCCCATACTGGTCAGGGAGACTTGGGGCCAGCAGAGAACAGAGGTACTGTAAGTCCTTGGGGGCCTGCTCAAGTGCAAGAGTAAGTGTAGAGGTACTGGTCTCTGAACAGAAGTCTCACCACATCACCCTCTGGGCTTCTTTCCTTCTTCAGGCTGGTCCAGGTCCCAGGCCTGGTCAACTCCATCACTGCCACTTCTGAGGCCAGCTGCCTGCCCTTCCGAACCCCTTCCCGGGTTGGTTCCCCATGGAAACCCCTCCATCGCTCCCGCAAATTGGATGTAGAGAGCGATGGCTCCACTGAAGAGACAGATGAGTCTGAGACTTGAATCTGAAGGGTCCCATCTGTGGCCTATACCTTGCTCCCACCCTGCTTTTGCTGCCCTCACCAGACTTCTCCAGCATCACTGTGCCGCCCTCTGCTGGAGAGAAGGGTGAATAACAGCCCCAGTAAGACCACCCAGTTCCCAGAAGTCCCCCAACTCATACTCGCAGACAGCCCTAAGCTGACATATGTCCCAAGGCACTCATCACAGGGAAGGGTATTGGCTTTAGCCTTTTGTTGGCAGTGCTGCTTATGTTTTAGTACAATGTCTTCTCAGCCAGCCCATGATCCTCCTAGTAAGGGTCAGCTTTCACAAACAGCTCCTATAAGGGGAACATGAATTAGTAATGCAGGGTCTTTGTAGTCAAGGGTTGATCCTGAAAGCATGTGCTGGGAAAACATAATACGCTGGAATAGGAGGGTGGACGGGCAAGAATTTTACTTGCAAAATCTGCTTCCAGTTTGTATCAAATAGTCAAATCTGAAATGAATAAAGTCCCTTGTGTCTGGTAAGCAATGAGTCTAAAGCCAGTAGGCTAAGGGGAGGGAAAGGGAAGTGTGACTTGGGTGCTTTTCTGACTGGATGGAGGTGAAGATGGGGGCCACTCCAGCATGGGGCCTCAGCTGACAGAGGACCTGGCCTCCTGCAGATGAGGACAGCCATTCAAGTCAGAGGAATACTGAAGATGGCTTTCAGAAACGTCTCTGAGTGTTCAGCCAGGTTCTCTCCACCTGTGAGACTCTGGCCACAAGAGCTTTGCACAGCCTTTCCCAGGGTTTCCTTAAATTCGAAGACCAGCTCTCAGGTTAGGCAGTAGTGTACATGTGCACAAAGCACGCCTATGGTTCTGAAGCAGACTGGAAAAAGGTAAGAGAGGTGATCATCTTTCTTGAATGAGGTAGATCTCGGCAAAATAAAATTCACTCAGGGGTTATGGCAGAGCAGGCTGCCCGCACCATATTAAGGTCACCACTTACTGGACACTTTAATTTTCCTGCATTCTTCCCTACCAAACCTACCAGTGGACAATTACACATAGCTTCCAAAAAGCCCTCTGGTGCCAAGCCTACCTAAATGCATCTGAGTGAGCCCCTGAAAGGTTTCTCAAATTTGGGTGTGTACCTGAACCACAGGGAAGCTTGAGTCCAATTATCAAGCTAGAGTCCTAATAGACCAACTTGGGACTGGAAAGAGAAATCTGATTTCAAAATCCCAGGTGATTCCAAACACGGGAACTCCATGGTTCCCTGTACCTGTCCTTTCTAACCCTCATCTCCCAGAGTGGCCTGTAACTGTACCGTGTTGAGGAATCCCAACGACAAAGCAGCCCTGTAAGGAAAGGGTTTATACACAGCACCCTAACTCTTCCAATATAAAATGGTCATTTAAGTCTGAATCTTTAAAATGCCTTTTCAGGCCAGGCATTTCAGTACATGCCTATCATTCCAGCACCACAAGAGGAGGATTACAAATTCAAGGCCAGTCTTGGGCTATGGAGACAGTCACTCTCAAACAAAAACACAGAGCTCCGTTGGGAAACAGGTCCCAATCTGCCTCCTGTGATGAGGTGCAAACCGCTGTTGTTGCAGACAAACCAAGGGCCAACTAACACCACCTCTTTCCTCCACGTGCAACAGGGTGGTGAGGTCGAGGCTGTACCGGAGCCCGCGGCAGCACAGGGGCAAGGCGCCAGGGGCTTTTGGCTTTCAGAGAAGAGACAAGCCGGAGGCCCCGGAGAGAGTGCCCTCAGCTCTGGCACCGACGCCCAACCCATATCGGTGGGAGCCCAGAGAGTGAGCGAAGGGCCACACTGGGCAGGGAGGCAGGATGGAGAGGACACTGACCCACAGGGCCCCGTGGGGGCTTTATTTTGACACCACTTTGTTTCAATACAAACAGTGCTGAAAGAAAGTCATGTCCCTCTGGGGAGGGATGAGGGAAGAGTGGTCTGTGTTGTTTGGGAGCCCAGCCTGCAATGCACAGGTAGGGTTGGGCCCAGCTGCCAGGACAGCAAGGTGAGATGGCACCAAGGATGACACAGTGCGAGGCCAGAGGCCAGTGTGTGGGCGGCAGCTGCAGGAGCTCAAGCTCTCACTGACTGACGGAGTGCTGCCTAGGACCCCTAAACCCAGAATGGTGCAGAGGACAAAAGCTGAGCTCCAGGGCTTTCTCTGGGTCTCAGCTTCCTCGGCCAACAGCAGATGCACAGCAGCCAGGCAGGACACATAGGTGAGACCTGCCATGGGTGCGGAGCAAAACACACAAGGAGAGAATCTCAAGCACAGACGGAGGTGCTATGACCCGTAGTAATGGTAGATAAGGGCTCTCAAGACACCTAAGCAGAAGTCAGCCTCCAAGGGACAGCAGTGACAAAGGAAGATGCCCAGGCCTCCATCCAGGCTGATCCCAAATAAAACCTTTAGGTGCCAAGCAAAAGTTCTAGCTCTTAGTGAGTTTCCGGGGTCCTTCTCCTATCCCACCCTCCCCTGGAACCCAGAGGCCACTGATGGCAACAGCAGTGGCAAGTCCAGAACTTCTCCCTGAGGGCTGATCCAGCACAGCTCTTGTCAGGCCTCCCCTGTGTCCAGAATACGGAGGGCCAAGCCCCCCAGCCCATCTAAAAGGATCCTAGAGCCCACAGAAGCCTTCCGCCTTCCCTCCTTGGGGAAGAACTAGACCCCTAAAGCCACCCTGCTGGAACTCTCCTCTCACTCCCAGTGCAGCAGCTGTAGGCAGGACTGGAAGAAGAGCCTAGCGTGGAGGGAGAGGGTGAGGACAAGAACTCAATGCACAGGCAAAGGGCAAAGGCTGATGCTGACCATTCCCCTCGCCCGGGATCCTTCAAAGCCACCCAACTCACACACCACACAAAGTCCACAAATCCCCAGATCCACAAGGCAGGCACCCTGGCCTGAGAATCAGGGTTCTCGCTGTCACCACCACAGGCTTGAGCCATGGAGCCTGGATCAGTAGGAACCGTAGCGATCCTGAGTGGGGAGAATAAAACACAAAGTCAGAGTTTCTCGTCTGCAGCAGCTTCCCAGTGTACACAATGCCTCCAGGGCATACCCTCAGCAGAGGGCTAGGAGTTCCATGTGGGGAATTTGCAACAGAAACTGAGGGGAAGCCACCCGGGTACTAATGAAAAGGGAAGTCCTGCCAGAGATCACAGAACCTGGGAGGGAAGAGAAAGCAGTAGAGGTAAAAAGCTTAGCCCAGTCAGTGCAGACACATTATCCCCTTAGGGAGAAGCTCAGCCCAAATACAGGGATGGAAAGTAATTGGCCTGCCAAGAACAAGTGCCCCCTAAGAGCGGCTGGTGGCTACTCAGCAGGGTCTGGATACGGTCAGTAGAAGACGAACCTGCAAGCATTACTCTATGCTTCTTCCCAGGGCAGCAGCCCAGCCTCACCTGTAAAGAATTCATCACACCATTGGCCAGCACAGCCATCTTGCCAGCCACAGACTTGACACCCTGCTTAAACTGGGCAATATCAGCTGTAGGAATTACATTCCCCAGAGATACAGTTCCTGAAAAGCAAGGGACGGGGTGATCAAGAGCTCCGCAAGAAGCCCTTCCCAGCGACAGGGCACTCCGGCTGTGCTTGCCTGGTGCCGAGACAACACTGGCGCCTACCTCCTCCATGAGCTCCATCCACATCTCCAAAAAGGTCTGAAGAGCTGATGGCACTGCTGCCTGAGAGCTGCTGTAACCGAGACCTGGCTTCATACTGTGTTGGAGAAAAGGCAAAGTCTGGGTAATCTTTTGGCCGGTGATAAATGATTTATGCCAAACCACCCTATGCTAAACCCAAGGACAGGCAGGGAATCTCAGGCTTCTAACTGCTGCTGCCAAGGAGACAACTTCACTAACCTCAGAGTCCACCTCTCGACCAAAGAACATGTCAGATGAGATGGCCTTGGCTCCTGCAAACTTCTGACATGCTTCACTGGACTCCAGACCCGAGCTCCGGCTCTCCACTTCCCTCCGACTTGTGGTTCTGTGGACCAGTGCAGAACATCTGTGTCGTCTCATTACCACCAGCGGAAGTAGAGTTCAGAGGCCAAAACTGCACCCATGGCTTTCTGGCCATAGCTTACCATATCTATCCTGTGACTCTGGGATTCGAGAACCTTTCCTGTAGTGAACACCCCCCAAAAGAATGCCAAGAGCTCCTCTCCCTTTTCTTCACTGAAGCCAAGGCACAAAGAGCCTCAATTTCCACATTAGATGAAGTGGAAGTATGCTTCGGAGAGCTTAGGCTCCACAATGCTGTGGTCTCACTAAAGTTCAGAAGGTCCCATCATCACTGGTGCTGTCCTTGTCCTACTCAGAGAAGTGACAACATCTGATTGCCTGGCTTACACGCCCTCTCCTGCCATGACTATTCAGTGTCATGACCACTCTCTCAGAATCTAGCTAAGGTGGATAAAAAGGACACGCCACTCCACTAATGATGCGCAGGCTCTAGGTGGGAGTCCTACAACTTTCTTCCTAACAATTCGATGACATTACTAATGTCCTTTTTACAAATGCACAACCTACGGTAACTTGACAACAAAACATTATTCACAGTAAGATGGAGTAAAATCTTTAAAAAAAATAAGGGGTCTACCAGGTAGAAAACATGAGTTTGATCCCTAATCAAAATGTGAACAGTAGTGGCTGGAGAGATGGCTCAGAGGTTAAGAACACTGGCTGCTTTTCCAGAGGTCCTGAGTTCAATTCCCAGCAACCACATGGTGGCTCCTAACCATCTATAATAAGATCTGCTGCCCTCTTCTGGCCTGCACGCACATATGCAGACAGAACATTGTAAACATAATAAATAAATCTTTTTAAACAAAAGAAAAAAATGTGAACAGAAACAGAAAGTCAGGCCCCTCCTACCATAAAATAGATCCCAGGCTAAAAAAGGTCCCCAGCTGGCCCTGTCTAAGAATGGTCACTAGCTATATGTGACTACTGACGTTTGTTAAAATGGTATTACAAAGCATTAGAAAGTCAGCTCCTCAGCTGAGTGCTGTTCTTCAGGCAGCACACACTGCCCCGCCCGTGCTACCTTTCTGAAATAGGCCGAATGCTGGAGATTGTCACTTCGGGTTCCTTCTCTTCTGCCCGGTCCATACCCCAGGCTGCATCTGAATCCCAGCGAGAACCAAAAGTTTCTCCCAAGGAAAAGGGATTATCCTTGTACCTAGGGAGACAGCAGAGCAGCTCAGAGAAACCTGAGAAGGAACACAACAGCCAAGTCTATGCCCCAGGAACAGCCTTACTTTGGGGGTCCAGAGGCAAAAGTTCCAACATCATCAAACAAGTCAAGCTGTGATCGGGAAGATTTTGCACTCAGCGGGGTTTCCTGCTCAATCATCTGCATCTCAGACAGCACGGAGTGGGAGATGGAGCTGTGAAGAAAGCACAGCAGGTCAAAGGTCATTGAGTACCAACTGTTCACTGGCTCTAAGCACAGCAGCCAGGCTTGATGGGTCTGTTTCCCCAAACACCACCTGCCGTTTAGCTCCCTGCCCGTGCCCTGCAGAGAGCTGTGCTGCGAACATACTCAGAAATAACACGCCAGCTTTGTTCTCTCCAATGCTTTCCCCTGAGCAACGGCTATTGGCTGTCATCTTAATAATGCACACCAAGAGATGAGTGCTCAACCTCAACCTCCAGTCTTCCCTCTTTGGTTTTTGGTTTACATGTTCTAAGCTCACTGGCTAGGTGACCCAGATCCTCTTCCCTCAGCCTTTCCAGTGTTGTAGGCATGAGCCAGATTACAGGCATGAGCCACCATGCCCAGCTCCATCTCCATCCTTACTTGAAGTCTTATGACACCATAGACTAGATCCTGAGACAGATGCACACATGCACAAAGCAGAGCATGAAAACCACCAGATGATTCTCAAGGGTTCACAGCGAGTCCTTACTCATCATCTCTTAAAGAAGAAAGGGGATGAAGAGGAAGAAAAAGGAAAAAGGGACTAAGAACATTTCCTAGGACAGGGTCTGGCCCATGCACCAAGACTTAGATCTGCCAGTGCTCCCTAGAGTGGGCAGGCAGGATAGCCAATGCCTCCCTCCTGTCAGGATCTGTTGCATTCAAACTTATTAAAGAATGCCTAAGAGTCAATATTCTGCAACTGGATTTTAAATAAAGTAGACCAGGTTTAGGTAAGAGATTCTGTTGCACTGTTAAAGAAAGGAGGGTAAAACCAACCAACCAACCAACCAACCAACCAACCAACCACAGGGGCGAGAGAGAAGGCTCAGAAGGTCAGAGCACTGGCTGCTTTCCCAGAGAACATGTTTAATTCCTAGCACCCACATGCAGGTCACAACAATCTCTAACTCCAGTCCCAGATGATCCATTGCTCTCTCTGACCTTCAAGAGACCTGTGCTAATGTGGTACACAGACATACCTGCAAAACACCAATATACAGAGAAAAATAAAAGAAAACAAATTCAGATGTGGTGAAATGATAAGTGATCTCAACACTCACGAGCGTAAGGCAATAAGGGCAGGAGTTTAAGGTTAATCTTAAGGCCAGCCTGAGCTACATAAGACTATCCAAAAAAAAAAAAAAGACAGAAAAGAAAAACAAAACAAAATAGTCTGTTTTAGGCCAGACAGGCCTAATGAGATCTTGCCTCAAACTAACAACAACAACAATAAAAAAAAAAAAAATTAAAAAAGAAAAAACCAAAACCAAAAAACCCACCAGGGCTCACTCCCTAAAACACGGAAGGAGAGAAAGGACTCCAACAAGCTATTATCCTCTAATCTCCACATGTGTGCCATAGTACAGGTAGGTCTCACATACAAATACAAAATAATAATAATAATAATAATAATAATAATAATAATAATAATAATAA